TTTTTGTTACACATGCTTTTATTAATTTTTTAATCAAAATGTTACTTAATTGAGGTGTATAAAATATTCACAGAATTATTAGAAACTAATACTCCCAAACAGATGCCTTTTTGGAGGCAAACGGTAGATATTTAAAATAAGAAAGGTTATAAAGAGCGTTCAAAAGAATAATGCAACTGTAAAGATTTGTTTTTTTCTATAGATACAAGGAAAAATAAGGCAATTCTTAGCAAACCTCAGACAAAATGTTTCTCAGGATAAAAACATTATTTTCAAATATTAGACCTGGTTTCTAAAAATATGGACACAATTACTATAAACATTTTTAAAAATGTAATCCTGGGCTAGGGATTTAGCTCAATGGTTCCACTGCCCCTTCAGCACAAGATCCTGAGTTTGATCCCCAGTACCAAAAAACAAAACAAAACAAAACAAAAAAACCCAAAAAACAAAAAAAAGATATGCAATCCAGAGACTTAAGTTTTTTATACCAAGAATAGCAAGTAGAGTCTTTTTTTCTAAAATACAAAGTAGTGCTTAAAAATTGTATTTATGTATACAACACACACACACACATATATACCTCACACATATTTTCAGTCCTGGAGGTTGAATTTGGAGCCTTAACATGCTTGGCAAGCACTATACCGCTGAGCTACATTCCTAGCCCTTTAGAAACAGGGTCTTGCTAGTTACCCACGCTGGGCTTCAGCTTCTTTTTTTGGGGTACTGGGGATCAAACTCAAAACCTTGTGCCTCCGAGGAGGCGGCAGCACCACTGAGCTTCAATTCTTGATCCTCCTACCTCAGCTTCCTAAATATCTGGGATTGTAGGTATGCACCACCATGCCCAGAAAACATTTGTTTGTTTGTTTGGTTTTGGTTTTTTGGTACCAGGGGTCAAACTCAGGATCTAGCACTTGAGAGGGAGGCATGGTACCACTGAGTTACATCCTTGGCCCAAACATTGTATATTTATAAAACTCTATGGATAAGACTAATTAGCAATCTCAGTTAAGAACTACTGGCCTATGGGAAGGCTGAGGCAGGATGATAACCTCCAGATGAAGACGAACCTATGCTACATAGTAAATTCAAGGCCAGCCTGGACTACAAAATGAGACTTTGTCTCAAAAAATAAATGAAAACAAGCTAAGTGTGGTGGTGCATGCTAGTAATCCTCACATTTGGGAGGTTGAGGCAAGAGGCTGGCTACACGTTTGAGGCCAACTTGAACTACATAGTGAACCTCTGTCTCAAAAACAAAACAAAACAAAACAAAAACCACACACACATACACATAACCACTTGTAACACTATATTATCGCCTAATGCCATCAGGAAAAGTACCATCACAATTCTGATAAATACAGGAAAACTCCAAACTCCAGAGAACACTGTTACAGATAGGATCAAATTTGAAATAGATTTCTCAGTATAAATGATGCATATACAAATTAGGAAAAAATAGTGAAAATGGACATAACCTAGCATGGCCTGGAATGCATGAACCTCTTCCCTAAGTATCCTGAGTGCTGGGATTATAAGTGTGCGACACCAAATGTGGCTCAAAAGATTTCTTCAGTGCTTTGTTTAATAATAATAAAAAAATACCTACACAGAAAAGCCATGTCCCTGTCATCATTAAATAAAAATGTGGTATTCAAGTTAATTTTCTCTGTATGCTGATATACACAAACACCTCCACATCTAAATTCTGACGGCACGCTTACTTTGATTTTCAGTATGAATTCTTTGAAAAAATAACTTTTTTTGTACAGGGGATTGAAGTCAGGTCCTTGTATTTGCAAGGCAGGCAGCAGAACCACTGAGCTAAATCTCCGGTCCCTGAAAAAATAATTTTGTTATGTATAAAAAGGGGGAGAAAGCTGGGGATTTAGCTTAGTGGCAATGCACCTGCCTCACAAGCCCAAGATCCTGAGTTCAATCCCAGTACCCAAATACTACATTTTTTTCCTACCAAAGGATACATCACAACATAAAGAAAATTAGAAACTTATTCAGAACTGACAGGAACTTCACAAGCTAGACTTTAAACCAACTAGTCAATCCTGCTTTGCCTATATTTTCCTGATTTTTATGTCCCAATCTATTTTATTTTCTCCAATTTCATCTAAGTAATGACAGAAATTGGGCAGACTGGCAAAAGAATTTTATATAACTTCTTTATTCTCAAAGTACACACAGTTATTAAACATTGGAATACTTGACTTTACTTTCTTGTTTTTTTTTCCTTTGGTGGCGGGAACTGAACTCAGAACCTTGCGCTTGTCAGGTAGGTGTAACACCACTGAGCTACATCCCTGGCCTTTGACTTCACTTTCTAAAAGTAAAATTATTAGTATAAATTTCTCCCTATCACCAGGATGTTGAGATTTTTATTTTCATCATTACTAGTGTCAAGAAACGATGAAAAGTTCTGAAAAGGGAGCAGACTTTGTAACAGACAGGCTGAGATACTGTATTCATCAATTTCAATGCCCATCTATTATTCCTTTCTAAACACACTAATTTCTGCCATTATACAATATAGAAGTAATTTCTATGCATACCATCTCAATACATCACAATCCCCAAGAAACCTTCCTAGTAAATTCAGTGACACATACTGTTTAAATGAGGAATGTATCACTCAGCAATTATGTATTTATCTTTTTATTTTTAGTTTTATTATTATTACTATTATTATTTTGAGACAGGGTCTCATGATGTATCCATGCTGGCCTCAAATTTTTGGCAGTCCTCCTGCATCAGCCTCCCAAGTGCTGGGATTAGAGGTGTGGGCCACCATACCTAGTTTATCTTTGCTTATTTAAATAAATAAATTTAAGTTCTGGTCTTCTAGATCATTGCTATTTTTCTAAGAATCCTACATGTTTGTTTTTTTACTTTTTGGAATAATTCTACTCTTCTCATATAGGATTAGTCTATGTAAAGTGTCTATTATACTCCTATTAACAGAGCTTCTTATTTATGCTATAAAACGAATACTGAAGCACAGTAAAACACCATCAATTTAGGAAATTTTCTCTGATTATCTAACTAAAATCCTTAAGCAACCAAAATAATTTTCAAGGCTGGGCGTGGTCGTGCATGCCTGTAATCCCAGCACTTGGGAGGCTGAGGCAGGAGTACCACTGTGAGTTTGAGGTCAGCCTAAACTACATAGTGAGTCCAATCAAGGTCAGCCTGAACTACATAGTGAGACTCTGTCTTAAAAAAAAATTCAAATTCAATATTAAGTGACCTAAAAAAATAAAGAAGGCATCTTTATATCAGAATCTATGGGTCAATAACTGAAAGAAAAATTTACAAAGTTTTAACTTAGAAAAAATTGCCTCTCAAAATCAATATGTTATAAACAAACAAACAAAACAAACTCAATCATGTTGATTCTACTGACTTGCAATCTTTAAACATGTAACATAAGGCATGAGTTAGCACTGTTGGTGCCATAGTGGAGCCTAATCTGGAAGTCAAAACAACAACAATCACAGCAAACCTAGTAGCAGCACCACCTCTCTTCCAAAGTGCAGTATTTCTATTGACTTGTGAGGGGCCTTTTTGTGGTGTGTGGTGGTAGTGGGGCTTGAACCCAGGACTCTGAATTGAGCTACATCCCAACCTTTCCTTTACTCGAAAAGAGTTTTTGTTAAATTGCTAAACTGATTAGGCTGGGCTTGAACTTGTACTGGGATTACAGATATGTGCCTCTACATTGGCCTATGAGACTTTATTTCTAAAATTAACAAATTCCTGAACGCCTCAGAAAAGGCAATCTTCATGTTTACATATTTGTTTTTGTATCAATTAATTTTAAGAGTCATTGTTTAAAACAAAGCTATTTTATTCCCGAATAAAAGAAGATTTAAATTGGGGGTGGTGGTGCACACCTGTAATCCCAGCACTTAGGAGGCTGAGGCAGGAGGATCACTACAAGTTTGAGGCCACCCTTGGCTATGTAATGAGTTCAAAGCCAGCCGGGACTACATAGCAAGACCTTGTCTTAAGAAAAAACAAAAACAAAAAGAGGATTTAAATTTGCTAGAAAACTATGCTATAACTTTGTATTAGTCTTGAATCATAACTAATCAATGTATTCAAAAATTTCTCTAAATAGAATCCTTTATTTCTAAAACTGTTTCATTCATTCACAGGATTATAAAGAAAAGGGCCCTGGGTACTATGCTCAACAGAAGAGAGAAAATGCAAAGGGAAAATATCTCAAAAATTCATTTGAGAAAACAATCAGATATAAGGAAACCTATGACATGTGAAATAAAAGATATTATTCTAAGAAGCTATTACTGTAAGAAGTCTCATTTGTTCATAGACCCTTTAAGAAAGATACCTAATCAATTTTTTCTGAAAATGCATTCTACATAAAATAGTTCTGCATAATTATAGGAGTTCATAAATTCCAAGTCCATGGAATTTCAAGCAAATAACACTGGTACTTCTAACAGCTCTAACTTACCTCAAAAGATGATTCTTTTTTGTTTGTTTGTTTGTTTTTTGAGACAGGTTTCACTATGTAGTTGAGACTGACCTGGAACTCACTATGTAGCCCAGGCTGGTCTCAACTCACAGTGATCCTCCTGCCTCAGCCTCCCGAGTGCTGGGATTAGAGGCGTGCACCACCACGCCTGGCATCAAAAGATGATTCTATAAAAGAACTAGGATTAACAATCTCTTTGAATTCCAAATAAGTCATTCAGCCTTTTACTATAAAATCTTGGATAGCAAAGCATAACACTTAGCTACCTATAAGATTAACTATAATCCTAAAAGTTGTACATATCATAAAATAGAAATTAAAAAAAAACAAAAACTACTTTAGCAGGGCTGGGGATTTAGCTCAGTGGTTCCACCACCTGCCTCACAAGTGCAAGGTCCAGAGTTTGATCCCCAGTACCAAAACAAAACAAAACAAAAAAACTACTTAAGCAGCTGGGCCTGGTGGTTCAGGCCTGTAATTACAGCACTCAGGACACTGAGGCAGGATTGCCAAGATGTCAAGGCCAGTCTGAGCTACACAGTCAGTCCAACACTGAACTACAGTGTGAACACAGTTCAGGATGAATCACAAGGTGAAACCCTGTCTCAAAATAACCAACCAATTAAACCTAAAAGATTACTTTAAATGATTATTTAATTTATATACGTTTTTTCAATTAATCCATCAATCACAGATATCCTAGGTAAAAAAATAATATATTTGGGTAAAGTTAATTCTTCTAATTTTCAGAGTAAAAGAGTATTTACTTATCAAATAAGACACCAAGAAATTTTGAATTTTGCAGTTGTAAACTCTGTTAATATTACTTAAAATACCCACTGATAAAATCACAAACAGCATTTTTGCTTAAATATACTATAATGAAACACATCTATAAAATGTATCTCTAGCTTCTCTTTTTCCTACTCAACTTTTATTTTCTGTGATGATACAACTCAAATTTTCATTAATAGCATGTGAAATAGTTGCAGAATGAGCCATTGTACCACTTTGAATATTTTCTTTTAATCTTACCATGCAATCCTAGAACTTTTGGTGAGTTTTGAAAATATAAGTATGCAACACATGCATTAGAAATTATTACCTCCAGTCAGTAGATTCATAAATAATTTTTAATGTGGAAGTCAGAAAATAGAAAAATGATTATCTAAAGAATGTGTAGAAAGCCACATTTCTCAGCCCACTGTCTGTATTCTTTTACTAGAAATACCTTAAATTTTGCTACTTTGGCTACTAGATGAATTGAATATAATTTCATTTTGAAAATTTATTTTTTAAATGGATCTAATGATTTTTAGGAATGGGTAATTAAATTAAATCAAATCAAGTTTCTCAAATCCATCTCAGCATAGACTAAAGATTGATTAATAAGAATAGATTTAGTAACACTAAACAGCTAAAAGTGCATAATACACCCTACATACTTATATAAACCATACCAAATTGTAGCAAACTCACATAAGGGATTTTCAGAGACAAAAGCTTTACAGCCTTTTGGAGAGCTGAGAGATGTGGTTAAAATGACAAAACAATACATCAAGTTTCAGTTATCCATGACAGAAGATGGAAATAATCACTTGAAATCTTGAGTGTTATATTCTGTTTCTCCAGCTGAAATCTGGCTGAGTCGCTTGCTAGATCCCCACAATTTTCGAGAAAGCTGACCTGAACGCATCTGTTTAATCCAGAGAAATGAAAAAAAGAAATAGATGTTAAGAAAATGAAAGAATAAAGTCATTATATAACACTTATTTTGCAGAACGAACAGGTTTTGTTAGCAGATCATTAATGTTTTAAAGATTCTTGATTAATAATAAAGGCATTTGATTATGTCTTTTAGTTGAGAAAGGTCTCAAGTAAATTTGTAACTCTAAAAATAAAATATCACAGGGCCAGGGATTTAGCTCAGCGGTTCCACTGCCTGCCTGGCAAGTGTGAGGACCCGAGTTCAATCCCCGGTACCTCCCCCAAAAAAATCCCAGTTATGTTATGTAAAAATTATCACACCCCTTAACAAAAATATGTATTACTTCATTAAAATATATGTATTGAACTATACTTTATCTAGCCAGTAAGATATATAGGTTTGGAGATGTTTTTCCTGGTATTTATAGAACCATTAATGTCAAATATAAAGAATGTAAAATAATGTTTTGATGAAAATAATTTAAAATATTTTGATATAAGAATTTTAAATATTAATATTTAACAATAGAATGGTAGAACTGAGCTATATCCCAGCTCTTTTTTATAGACCTAAATTTTAGATAGGGTCTTGCTAAGTTGCTCAAACTGGCCTTGAACTTGTGATACTCCTGCCTCAAACTGCCATGAACCTGAGATTACTGAGTAGTTGGAATTCTAGGTATGAGCCATTCATTATGGCTGGCCCAGTGACAATTTACTTTTTTACTAGATATTCCTCTGCTACCTACCCATTTCTTTCTTTTTTTTTTTTTTCCTTTGGTACTGGGGATGAAACTCAGGATCTTGCACTTGCCAGGCAGGTGCTGTGTTACTGAGCTAAAATCTCCGGTTGCTACCCTTTTCAAATGGTGACTTTTCACAGGCCTCATAAAATTTTACCAGTGGCTTTGGGTGCTTGTTTTGCATTTTCATTTCCAGATGTATTTCCTGAAATATTATTTTCATTAATCTATTACTACCCTATAATCTGATTTATAAATATGAATTCCACACTGACAGAATAATATGTAAAACTGATATATGATTTGAAAATATACATTAATCAAAATTTTGATGTTTTAGATGGAAAAAATAAACCATGGTAGTTGAACACAATGCTGTATCCCTGTAATCTCAGCTGTGTGGGAGGCTGAGGCAGGATAGGACTCAATCCCAAATTTGAGTCTATCTTGGCAACTTACTGAGATCCTGTCTCAAAAATTCAAACAACAAAAAAGGGGCTGGCAATATAGCTCAGTGCCAGAGCATCCCTGGGTTCAATCCTCTACCACACACACAAAAAAAGCTGAATGACATCCTGGATTTGATCCCCAGTTCCAAGGGGGGGAAAAAATCTTGAAATAGAAATCTTTTCATAACTAAATACTAATCTAGTTCATATTTTATATGATCATAGCTATTTTTGTTTTTCCAGAACCAGGGAATGAATTCAGGACCTTGCCAGCCAGACACAGTGCCACTGAGCTACATTCCTGGCCCAATCACAGCTATTACATGAATTATATTTTGTTCTGAAAGATTCAGAATATTCAATTTGCTAAAGTAGATCCCTAATTTAGCTGATATAGCCAAAGATGTAAAACAGATTAAAAACGTACTTTAATTTACAACTTACACACAATTCAGATTCTATATTGTAGACTATATAAATCTTATAATAAGGGAAATTACCAAACTTATCTATAAATACTACAAAACATTAATTTAGGCCTATGAAATCCAGCTGCTCTGCTTAGGTGTTTTTTCCAAATAATTTAAAAAAATGTATACAATATTGGTCATTTCACTGAAAAAATTGAGTAAGATCAGAAAAGTGACAAGCTTACCTAATGTGGGAAAGAGCAGGCAATTAAAAAAGCATGCGAGTAAACCACAGAAAGTGAAATACAAAAAGTAAAGTCTGAGCTGAGATTTTATGAGATTCTCACACCAGCAGGGAACAGGTAAGTATGATTTGGGAAATTCACTGACCAGGAAATTCAGTGTTAAATATTGCTTAAATATTTTATTTTATTTTTATTTTTTGGTACTGGGGATCGAACTCAGGACCTTGTGCCTGAAAGGCAGCCATGGTGCCACTGAGCTAAATCCTCAACCCTTAAATATTTTAAATACAAGTGAAACACTGACATGTAAGCGTCCTGACAATGGAAGGTTGTTACATCTGAAATCAAATGTTGTAGTCACTTACGTATTTTAATGTAACTTTTTTATCCAGAAAAAAACAACTTAAGAAATTTTGAAATATTTATAAAACAAAAAGGTTCTTTTGTCCTGTCATACATAGACTTATTACAACCACTGTGTGGTAGTAAATTTTTCTCTTAAAATGATCCCACAGATGTCACATAGATTTATCAGAAAAGATCACTGATGAATCGAAAAAACTTACAATGATTAAATATCTCTATGAAATAAATTTCTTAAAAGAATCAGTAAATCACCTGGAGTTTAGCCACTTAGTTCTCCAAGAGACAAGAGCTAGATTTATTTCATCTTAATAATTAGCAATTGCTAAACCACTAGCAAATTTACAATTACTGGAAACTGAGAATTATGACTTTACAAAAAGATGTACAGTCATGGTGGATATATATTAAAATGATGTATTTTCATTATCTGAGCCAAAATTTTTTTAATAAAGGCTTTTATGTACTAAAAATCTATGTAGTAGTGTTGAATCAAGTGGTAGATGAAAACTACCAAATGTGTGCTTCCAATCATAACATAAACATCACTCTTGAACAACAGTATCCTCTGTTTTCATTTATTGCCCTTTGAAAAATCAAATTTATTTTTAAACTTGTTCATCCATAATGGAGACTTTTGAGTTAGTTGGAATAAAAGCGAACCAAAGGCATCCCCAACAGTACGGGAAATAAAATTCATGACATTAGATTTTACCTCAGCTGGCTTGCCAACACCTACTACAATCAACTTGCCATCTTCTAAACCTACTAGAATATGGCTGTATTCCTTGGTTACACAAACACAGTGGATAGGCAACCGCATGTCTAATGGCGCGATGCTGAGATTCAAACTAGAAGAGAAATAAAAAAAGACCCAATTACATGCAAATATTCTGTATTCACAATTTTATACCTGGAAAATGATAAATCTAGAAGTGACTCACATAAAGGCCCATATTTATAGTACTACTTAAAAGACCTGATAGATCTTTTCCTTAGACCCAACATACTTTTCTTCTAATAATCAGACAAAATATTACTAAAACATCCCTCAAACTTATATGTAAAATTTTTTATTCCTTACTAAGAACTTTACACTTATTCTTCAATTTCCCCATTATTATTACAACATCCCCCTCCCCTCCCTGTATGTGTTTTAGACGGGATCCCACTATGATTCCTAGGGAGATTTGAAACTCTGAACTGAAGTAATCTATCCTCCTGCCTTAGCCTCCTGAGTAGCTGAGAGTACAGTTCTGAGCTACCCTTTCAGGCTTCAAATGTTCATTATGATTCATCATATATCTAAGGTAAATATCTTGTCTATTCCCTTGACAGAGGGTTCCTAGTGTGATCAGAGGGAGATAAGAGATCAAGGAAAAAAAACAGGTAGAACTCTATGTAGATATTATTAGACTTTTGTCTTTAGTGTCTTTCCTAAAACAGGTGGAAATGTCCTTTCATTAGTCATCATTCTCTTAATCCAAGATAATCAGCAGGCATCTGTACTAGCTCTACTTTAACCATACTTCTGAAACCAAGTGCAATACAAAGCTCATGGCTGTCTGTTGGGAGACATTCTACATAATTTTTGGGGGAACAAATTATTTCACAATTAAATTACGATTACTCAATAGTCCTGGGATGTTGTGATGCTCAAGGGCAAGATTATATCAGCTGAAGATATCCTGAGTCTTTGAGAACTGAGTAGAAAGATTTCAGCTGGGGAGGGACAAATTCCTTATCAGTTTAAACTCATCCCACCTACTATTGTAAGAACATTTTTTTTGCTCACCTTACCATCCAGATCAACATAAGATCCTCATCAACATAAATTCCTCATTGGTATAGGATTACTGCTACCCTCTGAATAATCTGACATTTCCTCTGATTATAAGATCCTCATCAATCTAGGATTATCACCTCCATATGAGTCATCAGATACTCCCTATGAACCCAATAAATATTGGCAAGCTAGGAGTGTCTTTGTCTTTGCTGCCCAGAGCAGCACTGATCAGGCTCATTTCCTGTCTTTATTCTTTAATTCACCTTGTGCTGTTGTGGCTCACAGGAGACCAGGACTCACTGCAAGGGTTCTGGTAGCATCCCTTTTCCCATTCCCCATAGTTGTCTTTGAGCCGTGTCTTTGAGCTCTATTTTATTTTCACCTCCAAAAGAGGGCCCTCCTTTTTATCTCCATTTCAATTCCTACTAACGCTTCATTAAGACTCCCATGACTACTCGACCTGGAGTAACTTTTAATGTCTTTTAAACTCTTTTTGCACATATAACTAATACAACATAATTTAATGTATTATTATTTTTCTAATTAGCATGCTAATATTGCCATTTCCTTCGGTAGTCTTAAAACCCAGAAGGTCAGTTATTATTATGCATCACAGAACTGAGGTACATTTATTAAATGCTTTTCATTTTGTCAATTAATAAGTGAGAGCTGGACAGGAATGACAAAAAGCTCAAAAAATGCACACACATATGGTGTGTGCTTTTGAGGTAAATACAATTGTTCTATTTGCTTTTTATGGTATTCCATTATGACAATGTCTGTGTTTGTTTAATCATTAGACAATGAAGAATCCTATGTCACACAAACACACTCAACATTCCAGAGTAACCTGCTGAGATCCATTGATTTTTCTACTTTGAGAATCTCCTACAGGTACCCTAAAAATTAGAAAAAAAAAGAGATGGTAAGATATAATTGGAATGTGGACTCTGTTACGGCTTACATCTAGATGTCCCTCCAAAGCCTTATATGCTCATAGTAGGGGATTTGGGGAGTGACTAAATACTGGATCAGTCCACTGACTGGTTTAGCATATTTCTGGGTGTGGGTGATGGACTTGCTGAAGAGGGAAGACAGGCTCTGAGTCAACAGGCTTATAAGCCTGGATGGAATACAAAGAGAAAGGAGGAAAATTTGCTGCCTCCTGCCTGCCATGTCATGGACTGTCTCTCCTCAGAGATGCCCCTCTGCCATGATGCCTTGCCTCGGAGGAAACCTCCTTGGACTGAAACCTCTACAAATTGAGGGCCAAAATAAACATTCCTCCTTTAACTTGTGGGTGTCAGGTATTTTGTTCCAGCAACAAGAAAATAACTTGAGAACACTGAGATAGATTTAATGCTGTAACACAGGACAAAAAAAAAAAAAAAAAAAAAAGCAGAAAGTAAAAGCAAAGGATTTTGGTATAGAAGTGAATTGCCTATTGAAAAAAAAGAAAATAAAGGAAGTGAATGTGATATAAAAATGCAACAAAATAGAATACCTCAGATGAGAAAATAATTGGTAAAAAGATATTTTGGGGGGAGGGCAAGAATAATTTGGGTATATAAATAAACCACAGTAATTTATTTTTAAGAAGGAAAGAAAAAAAAAACCACATTAGTGGCACAGGTAGAATAACAGTGCTTTCTGTATTTAAGCTAATACATCTGAAGAATACTGAATTTAGAAACATACCCTTACTCTAACATCCTTGTCTTTCATTGAAGAACAGAGAATTCCTTTATTGAATTAAATAACAGAAGATTCTGTCATCAATAAAGCACAAGTAGAGTAGCATTAAAAATACTTGTTTTTCCTATCAGAATTTAAAAAAAATTAGTTTGTAACAATTCAAACCCTAACATGGACAAATTTCCAAATTCACCATTCAGGCTTGGCACTATTAAAACTTTTTGCTGAGTCTACATATTTTTGAAAACTTTAATTGTGGTAAAATATACACAATGCGAACTTTTCTACATATTTTTATTTTATTTATTTGTTGTTGTTGTTGTTTTGAGACAGGGTCTCACTTCATAGTTCATGCTTGCCCTGAACTCACTATGTAGCTCAGGCTGGCCTTGAACTCAAGGCAATCCTCCTGCCCCTTCCAAGTACTGGGATTACAGACGTAAACCACCATACCTGGCTCTACATATTTTTAATATGTGTGTGAATACATATTTCATTAATTAATCCAGGAATACTTTATCTTCCTCAAATTTTTTTATCATGTGAACATTTCAAAATGACAAAGGATTAGAAGTTTAGATTTCTGATTTCCACTCTAGGCTGAAGTACTGCTACCTATTTTGAAATGGTGCTTCAATAATTTTTATTACTTACCTGTGGAGATCTCTTATAGATAGGGACCCTTGTAAACTGCCCACGACAATGTGTTCTCCAATTATACACATATCTGATATTTGTTCCTTCAGGACTTGAGACCCCAGATACTTGCCATTTACTGAAAACAGATGTAAAGCATTCTTATCCTACAAAGAAGTGATGAGGAAAATTTAATGATCTCAACTAGAAGCTCAGGTGTTTTTTCATTTCTACTATTATTTTATTTTTAAGATATTTTTTAAAGGGCCGGGGATTTAGCTCAGTGGTGCCACCACCTTGCCTTGCAAGCACAAAGTACCAAACAAAAAAAAAAAATTTTTTTTTTTTTTACAATATTTTCAACTTAAACACGATTTACACTGAACACGTATGGCAGCTTAACTTAACCAAACATGAAATTTAAGAAGCTAAAACTGTTGTAGCTTTGTTAAAAAGAAAAGCTGTGCTGCAAACTACTATCATGATAGTCAACAAAGCAAGGAAAAGCACTATTCAAATTATGTAAACATCTCTTTGTTTAACTGAATTATAGGCTGGTGTTTGTCCCAAATTAGACTTCACACAGGTATGGCTATGACAAGGTGAATCTTCAGAGGACACAATTCTCAAATCACATATTCCTCAAATGTATCATTAGTAGAATTCAGTATTTCTAACATGATAAAATATCAAGAAAGCCAGGAATAACTATCATTACCTTGCTACCTCAGTCACCAAAGACATAATTATTTCAAATTAGATATTCTTCAGAAAAATTTTTTCTTTTTTTTTGAGACAGGGTCTTGCTATAGTTTAAGCTGACCTTAAACTCACTACATAGCTGAGGGTGGCCTCCAACTTGTGGCAATCCTCCTGCCTCACGGGGAGTCCTCTTTGTAAGGACATGCAACTAAAAAATCTGGAATGTAATTTAAATTTACTCATTTCTATAAAATGTACACATTAACAAGTGTTGGTTAATCCTAAGGGGACAGTTTAGCTTCAAGGATGACAATTTAGTAAGATTTAGAGTTATTTAATTTGGTCCTTTGTCACTACTTGACTGGTGGTTCCTTTCTTGCTGTCTTTACATTAAGTCACGGGACCAATTCTATTTTCAATAAATGTTTGACTACTTTTTACTTAATAACAGTCTCAGCACTTTTACCAAGCATGCAGGACTAACAAAAACTTTGGCAATGCACAAGTGTAACAGTGACAAGAGAGCTTTTACCATTAAGTCTTCTAATACTGCCTTCACAGTGTGGAAATTGTGCTATATCCACCAAAAAAGGGCCCATCTACTGAAATATTTTAGTACTTCACCCCAGGAACAACTCCTTTGCATTTGGATTCAAATTACTCTCAACCACCAGAGAAGAGCCATCATTGATAACAAGGTCATTAAATTGACTTGGATTTGGGTCCATAGTTTGTGGGAGACCTCAACTGGAATAAACCACTCATATTCCTCTTCATCTTCTAGCATTTTTTGGAAATAGCATTCAATAAATTTTTCTTCCTACAACTCCTCTTCTATTTGTTTTGAATTCCTCTTCATTTGCCATCCACATGTACTCTGCAAATGGATTGTCATCTTTGTGAGAATGACTATTGTTAATCACATCTTCATTGGTGATGCTTGGGTCAGTACTGCTGCTTCTTGGACCTTTCATGGCTGGCATTTTCATTTTTAACCCAGGGTGTGGCAGTGGGGATGGCAGCCAACAAATTCTGTCAGATCTCCACAGGCAACTCTGTTCTCCCGCTCAGTGCGCTTCACCCGCCACCTCCCTTCTCCAGTCCAAACAAGCACTGAAGCTGTTTTTATATTGTTAGTTAAAAGGTGTAACAGAATGATTAAAATTTTGTAATAAAAATATAGTTACACTTAAAAGAAAAGTATACAGACAATATGAGTGATTTCAAATTAGACAGCCAAATAAATAAATGTTAAATAGGATGTCTCACCCTCACCTGAAGGAAAAGTAAAATGTCCAGTCCTGCAAATATCCTACATTATTAAAGCAAAAGCAAAAGATTCTTTTAAAAGCTATCACTGAAAGGAAATAAACATAAAACTCAGGGTGAATTTATTTATATTCTGCCTTGTGAAAAAAGATAAATTGGCACAGGGCGTGGTGGCGCACACCTGTAATCCCAGCACTTGGTAGGCTGAAGCAGGAGGATCGCTGTAAATTTATGACCAGCCTGGGCTACATAGTGAGTTCCATGTCAGTCTCAACTACCTAGTGAAACCCTGTCTCAAAAAACAAAACAAAACAAAACAAAAAGATAAACTGGCTATCATTTCCATTAAGCTTATGATGTCCCACATAATCAGAAATTATTTTCTAAATCTTATATTGCATAGAGTAATAGAAATTCCTGTAATAAACATTCAAATGTAGACTTTTTGGGGGGGTATCGGGGATTGAACTTGGGACCTTGCACTTGCAAGGCAGGCAGCAGCACCACTGAGCTAAATCCCCAGCCTAAAAATACAAATGTGAGGCCAACACCATGGTAGAAGTCTATGTAATGGTAAGGAATGAATAAATGAATGATAAAAAGAAAAACAGCCTCTTTAAAACACTTTTTTGGGGGGCGGGTGTGGTACTGGAGCTCTAACTCTGGACCTTGTGCTTGCAAAGAAGGCACGGTGCCACTGAGCTAAATTCCCAGCCCAAACACAGTGTTCTTTTTGTGCTCAAACTGCCTCCATCGTGGAAAGGGAAGGACGTGCTACTGGTACACTGTTCCTACTGCATGAAAGTCAGGTACCTTGAGGGTGGTCTTTTCTTCAGTGCTGGAGTAGATGACAATGTGCCCTTCCCAAGATATAGCCAAATTGGGAATGGTCAGGAACAGAGAACTCTCACAAGGTGGCCGTAAAGTCCTCATGTACTGACCTTTCTTAATGGTATATATAATCACAGTGCCATCCTACACATAGGAAATATTAGAAAATGAAAAATAAATTAAAAAGTCCATGGCCAGTAACAGCAAAAGAGAAAAAAGTAAAGTTGGCTGGACAAAGAAATTCAAGAAAAGAACTGAGAAAATGATTATTTTACCAAGGACACATGTAGTTTAGAAAAAATGACAATCTTCAAATATCAGGTAGTATTTTATGTCATAAAGTGACCTCTTAACTATGAAAATCAATCAAATCCCACCATCCTTTTACAGATTTTCTTTTTATATTATTGTACTTTTACAATGTCCTATGTAAATATGTTGAAAAGCTTTTTTCCCAATTCCCCTAGAAAATCTTTGAGATATAAACATCACTACTGAATTCGTAAAAAAAAGCATTCTTTAAAAGTGAACTCCTTACCGAATAGTTTCTATGGTGTGAAAAACAAAGTGTAAATAAGATCCAAATTGTACAACTGATAATGTGAAATAGGAAGAAAAGGGCTAAAGGTGTAGGGAAAGTGGGGAGGGTAGGGGAAAGGAAATAAGGGAAAAGAAAAAATAAGAGAAAAAAATGGAAACAAAGTCTTTGTAAATAGGGGAGGGTAGAAGGGGTGGAGGGAGGGCAGGGGGATGGGGAAAAAATGAGAACCAAAATCTGTCATGTAAAGGTACAAAATCCCAATGATGAATGTAACTGTACTGTGTACCTAAAAAGTACCAATAAACTCAATGAAGAAAAAATAAAATAAAATAAAAGTGAACTCTTACCCTTGATCCTGATACTGCCATGTCTAGTTCAGTGCTTATGGCGACACTCAATACCTCATCAGTGTGTCCATAAAGAATTTGAAAAGGTTTAGATGCTAAGCCCACAGGAGCGCCTCCCTAATGTTAAAACACAAAGGCAAAGATGAAGCATTTTCTCACTATCTATTTTTTTATAACAAAGTTTATAATGCATTTAAACTTTCTAACAAAATACTAATACTGCAAATACTGCAAATAGTTTACTCAAAGTAGTATGCATTCTTGTGTTTTTCTTTGGACTCGTGAATGATTCTCAAACTTTTGAAGCTCAAGAAAATATAAATAGTCTTAATGTTGACTTAGATTAATTTTTTCAGGTATCTTATTTGTTCTTTTAAAATACCGCTTCATTCTTCCTTAATGTCAAAGAAAATTCTCATCTTTTATCTCCAAATACTTTCCCTCTGACATTTATTTGAGTCTCTACTTCCAGAACTCAATTATCTTCATGATGATTTGTCTTTAATTTTTACAGCTATTATTCATTCTTTAATTATTCTAATCTATCTTTTTCATGTGTATTTACTTTGGTTACCTTAAATCTTTCTTCCATACTATTAATTTGGTTTGTAGCCTGGTGGAATCTTTCTTGCTGTTTCTTTGTTGGTTTTATTTAAATTTGTAACCAGTTTGTACTGGTTTTGCTCTCACTTTGATTCTTCTGTAACCTCTGTTCTCATTTCATGTTTGAGCACCTATTTTGTTAAACCACTATTCTTACGTTTTTCTAGTGACACAATTTTATTGTAAGGAATCTGTCTTCTCTTTGAGTTGTTTTCCTTCATGTCTTTAGTATGCTATTTGTACATTATTTTATATCTTATGAAATGTTCGAATAGTTGACATGTTACTTGTTTTAGTCACAATTATCCTACATGACTCTGCCCACCTGTCTGTTCTACCCAGTATACATAAATTCCCCTTGGCACTCTACTGACTAAAACAAATTTATCTTTCCCTTATAGGCGTCAGTCTTACTACTTAGTGTTTTGTCCAATTTCTATACATCAAGTAATTCCTGTATTATTTAAGCAATGCAAGTTACAGAAAAAGACGGACTTCCCCAAAGTTCATTTTACAAAGGCTACATATCTCAATACTAAGCATGATAAAAACCAATAAAACCCTACTTCAATTGAGAGTAGAGAAAAATTAAAGCAAATAATACATAGTAATAATACATAATAATAAATAATAATAATAATACATAGTAATAATACATAGTAATAAATAATAGCAATAAAATACAATAGCAATACACCACAATGTATGTGGATTTATTATAGGAATTGAAGGATGGTGAAAACCTAGGAAATTTCTCAGTAGATTACATTAAAAAAAATTAAAAAGAAAAACTATAAAAGAGAAACTTACCTGCAGAGAACATTACTGTGAATACTAACCAAATTAGAATATAAACTGTAGATTAGATAATAGCATTGCATAAATGGTAAGCATTTTGATTTTGGCAACTGCACTGTGGTTATATATAAGAATACCTCTGACCTAAGAATGGGCAACTGGCTAAATAAAACCTTGTCTATAAAGTAAAATAAAACTCAGGAACCTCCTGCCTCAGTCTCCTGAGAGGTGGGATTATAGGTGTGTGTGCCACCATCCTAGATTGTGTGGCTTCAAAAAAAACAAATAGCAATAATTAATTAGAACTGAAAATGATTTAAAAACCAATAAAAATGAGAAGTATAATTAGAACAATAGAGAATCTAAATGGAAAAAGATTATTAAAAAATATTACCAACAGATATTTAAAGACCTGAAATAAAAATGAAAATACAGGTCGGCGCAGTGGCACACACTTGTAATCTCAGCACTGGGGAGGTGGAGGCAGGAAGATTACCACCAATTGAAGACCAGCATGGGTTGCATAGTGAGTTTAAAGCCAGTCTGAAGTATATAGCAAGATCCCATTTCAAAAAAACAAAAGGAAAATACACTTTCTATTTCTTGATAGGAATAATTATAGAAGTATCAATCTACATCAAATTAATATACAAATTAAATACAATTTCAAGTAAGACTAACATGGAGATGCTTTAGGAGGATATGGTTAAAATATTTTGAAAGTTCATGTGGAAGAATAAATACCACAGAAAAATAGCAGAGAACAGTTTGCTTATGTCCTCTACGTGTGTGTTGTGTGTTTTGGGGGGGGGCGGTTCTGGTGCTGGGGATTGAACCCAGGGCCTATACAAGTGCTGCACTACTTAGCTACATTCTCAGCCTACTGTGTTTTTTTATTTAAAAAAAATGAGGGGAGAAATCTGCCTTATCAAACATTAAATTACTAAAAACATTTTTGTATTCACATACAAATATTATAACTAAGTGTAAAAGTCTGAGAAGTCTAGAAAACCTAATTCAGTAGGTAGAGTGAGATCACTTTCCACTAACAAGTAAATTTTATAAAATATATATTAAAAGACTATCATAAATAGTGAAATGTAAAAAATAACATGAAAAATTGTAAGAAAGTTTTTAGATAATTTTGTTTATAAACTTGAGATGGGAAAAGGTATATTAAACAAGAGAGAAAAATAGAAACCATTAAAAAAAGGACTGTTTTTGGAAGGTGGTTGTTTTATTTTTTGAGACAGGGTCTCATTTTGTAGTGCAGGCTGGCCTTGAATTCAAGGTGTAGCCCACGCTAGCCTTAAACTAGCAGTGATCCTTCTGTCTCAGCCTCCAAAGTGCTGGGATTACAGGCATGCACCACCATGCAATGGCAAAAAAAAAGGAAACTTCTCAAACCAGTATTATGGAAATTTGATAAGGATGAAAATTATGTATCTTTAATTTCTAATAGTCCCACCAAAAAGAAAAATAGAAATATTATTGTGCTATCAAGAAAATAAAAAATAATTACTATTTTTCTAAGTGAGACTAAAACACTGAGAGATTCACAAGGAGAAATTTTGCAAATAGGGTGTAAAGAATCAGAAAATAAACCTAGGAAAAAAATGTGATCAGAACACAGCAAAATGTGCTTATAAAGGAATTCAAAGCAGTCATTTACTGCCACAGAAAAATTCATTAGACTCTATTAGAACACCTCAATAGCCTTTCCAAAGCAAATTATGTGAACCAAGAACATTTTATTTTTATTTATTTAGCAAAACATTAGTACATTTTAGACATACATAGTGATAACATTCATCATAGGGAATCTGTACCAGCACATGATATATGAACCAAGAACATTTTAACGTGTGACTACCTGTTGTGTAATTTGCCATATCATACATGTAGTATCTCTGGAACCAGAAATCAAATGTAATCCACAGTAATCTGCAGCTAAGCAAGTCACAATATCTGTAAGAAAAGGGAATTAAATAAAATGAAATGGCTTGGTTTTGTTGGAAGACAACTATAAGGGAAATTTTAGTTAATATTCAAACTGTTACTGAATCAGTTATTCTAGCAGGGAAAAATGTTGGAATGGCATTGGAAAAGCACTGGGAAAGTGATACAGGAAAGCAGTACTGTGAAAATCATCTCAGAGAACATTTTCTGAGACTGTCCTCCTCAGCATCAGGTATAACTGTGGGGGGTAGGGAATGTCTATGAGAACCTTGGGAGGTCAGATAGCTTGAAATAAATCTGCAATTAATTTTGATGTTTCTCTGGCTATTTCATTCCATTCACATCTCTTCCCATTGGGAATTACAACTGTATAAAATTTGTGTCCCTAAAGAAAATAATCCATATTATTATACCATAATTTTTTTTTTCCTGTATCGGGGATTGAACTCAGGGCCTTGGGCTTATGAGGCAGGTGCGGCGCCACTGAGCTTAATCCCCAGCCTTATTATGCCATAATTTTATAATATAAAAAATCTTTTTCCTAAACTGTAAGCAGCCAAGCTAAGTGATATTTTAGGATTCACTAGTAAAGAATAAGCAGTAGGCTTCCTTTCTCTTCTGTAACTGATTTACTGGAAAAAAAAATTTACCCAGTGTTTTATTCTTATATTGAATACTGAGATACTAAGACATGCCAGGTTAAAACACATTCAATTTCATCTCTTGTGCTCTATTGTTCATACAATAGTAGGACAGTTGATGATTTATTTAATGATGACAAATCTTATTAGTTTGTCTTAAAATTTTTATCAACCAATTTGTGTTTATTACCCAACTTTTATTTATTGATTGATTGGGTACTGGGGATCGAATTTGGGCCCTTGCGCTTGCGAGGCAGGTGCCAGAACCACTAAGCTAAATCCCCAGCCCTATTAGCCAATTTTTGAAAAGGCTTAATCTAACATTTTATAGACATTGTAAATGTGTATTTAATTTCTATAGTGCTTTAGTATACCTCCAGTATATCAGACACTCTTACAGAAAGCATTCAATATTTAAAATAAACTATCAAAATGTTTACTTATCTTAAAGGTAAATTAAAATACTTTATGTAGAATGTACTACTTCTGTAGTTAGAAAAAATAGAAAATTTTGGGGTTTTTTGGGGGGAGGGGTTAATGCTTACCCATATGTCTGATGTTGTGTGATATAATTTTGCCTTTTGTAAGTGACATCACTTGAATGCTATTATCCCAGTGTCCAGCACTGAAGAGTAACTTGGCATCATGCGATACCACAAAGAGCTTAGAAGTAAGTTCCAGCCCTGGAGCAAAAGGACCATTCATACTACGCTGAGTTCTGTAAATACAATTAAATATTAGACTTCCTCTTAAAAGAACACTTAGCTAGGAACAACTGTTTTTAGAAGAAAAAATTTTTTGGTACCGGGGATCAATCTCGGGTCCTTGTGCTTGCAAGGCAGGTGGTGGAACCACTGAGCTAAATCCCCGGCCCTGTTTTTAGAAATTTTTCTAAAACAAAAATAAAAAATAAGCCCCCAAAGTACTACTTGAAATGTCTATTAATAAATGATGAACATTTAAATAATACATTAATATTACTTCATATTTTTCATAAAGCAAATAGCCTCAAGGGTTAAACTTAAAGAAGAAACATTTTTCAATGTTTAAATCTTGGCTTTCAAAGCCAATGTAATAAAATTGGTAAATCTATAAATGGTACTTTAGAAATAAGTATAAAGACAAAAATTTTCCAGGACCAGGAAAATCAGAAATAAGGACCAGGGATATCCTATACAAGGTGATAGACAGGAGATGAATTAGATAAATGCACTAATTATGATGACACTTTTCCATTCCAACCAAAGCAAGCAGTTGGGTTTTATCTGCTTCCAAGTGAAATATCTGTAAGCTGGAACAATTTAAATTCTGCAGAAAGACACAAGAGTCAGTGGTGCCCCACCTGCCTGCAAGTTCAAGGTCCTGAATTCGATCCCCAGTATGGGAAGGGGGTGACAACATAAGAGTATGTTCAGAAAATGAGGGCTAATTTTGACATTTCAGTCCTAGAATTTTATTATTCAATAATAATTTTCTGAGACTATGCTTTATATAAAAGACAATAGTGAATTAGGCATGACTATGCATGCTTACAATCTCAGCATTCTGAGATAGGAGAATCTCAACTTTGAGTCCATCTTGAGCATTCGGACAACTAACTCAAAATAAAAAATAAAAAGGAGGTTGGGGGTGTGCCTTAGTGTGAAGATCCTGGGTTCGATACCCAGTACTGAAAACCAACCAACTTACCCAAAGAAAAAAAGAAAAAACAGTAGTACTAAGTTCCTTTTTTTGGGCAGGGGCAGACAAGGACTTGCTGTGTATTTCAGGCTGATCTTGAATTCACTATGTAACCCAGCCTGGTCTCAAACTTGCAGCAGTCCTCCTGCCTCAGCCTCCCAAGTGCTAGGATTACAGGTATACCTCACTATGCATGGCTAATAGTACTAAATTCTAAGTGGGATAAAAAAGGAAAAAATATATTATGAGTTGAGGAAGACAAGAAAGACATAATGATAATAATTATATCATTTTAAGTTTTCAAATATATGATACAATCTGATTCACTAACAACAAAGAACATGATTTAACTTGGAAAAATACAAGCAAACACTCAGCTAAGAAAACTTAGAGTAAGGACTATAGTACCTTATATTAGAAAGTAGTTTTGGAAGTAAAAACAAAATAAAGTAATACTAAACTATTATCTGAAACAAATAGTAAATACTGAAATAGAACAAAATTACAATTAAATTTACCATTCCTAGTACCTTTTACATCCATAGCTGATTAGAAATTAAGTGTTGTCTTTAAATTAATATCAAATCAGGACATAAAAAGAGGGGAAGGAAAAATGGGAGGAAAAAGAAAGATAAAATGTGGGTCTCAAAACATTACTTTCACATGAATCAGTCTAGTTATTTTTCCTGGCAGGAAGGTATATGCTGTAATCGTTCTGCCTCATATGTTCACTTACTTTGTTGCCTTTAAAAAAAATTTTTTTATTTTATTTTATCCCATACCCTCCGGTAAGCCCCCTCCCCTCCCTATGTATGAAAGCTTTTTCTATTTTTCCTTCTATTTTCACTTTTTTTTCCTTTGTCCCTTCCTTCCTTTCATTTACTTACTTTGGATTTGTTACAGTTTGATCCTTGATGAAGGTGAAGTAATTAGATATATTTCTGTCATAAGGCAGCCATCCATGGGTTCCAATAACATAGTTCATACTTACTGTTACCTGATAAAGAACATATGACAATTCAACTGAAACACTAAATGAACAGTAGCAAAATCAACCAACTGCTCACAGGCTCAGTATTTATCACTTAAGCGATGCTGTGGGACAGTATATTTAACACATAAAACTCAGCAAGTCAGTTCAAATAAAAAAGCTCTTTATCTTACAGGAAGAAAACTTTTTTTT